GTTCTAGAAATGTTCCAAACATCTCTTCTAAAATCGTGAGTGAAACTGCTGGTGAGTACCTTCCCTGTCAGTTTGTGTGATTGACTCCTTGCCCTTTTCACCATCACTTTCTCCACAATTTAAGGATATTATCATTCACAATTTCTTCAACATTGTCTTACTAATGCCTTTTCAGGTCACTTTCTTAAGAATTTAAAAAGTCAACTTCCTCAAACAAGGATACTAGCAATCTCTGCTCTAAATACACTATTAAAAGAATCGCCTTACAAACTCTCTGCTGAGAATCAGTCTGCAATATCTGAGGAGTTACAAACACATGTCAAATCGTCTCTAGAAGGGGCATTAAGTGAAATTTTTCAGGAAGAAGGGTTCTTTAACGAGACTTTGAATAGCCTGTCTCATGTTCATATAATCACTGATACTGAGAGCACATCTTCCCAAGGAAGTCATAGGAATTCTTCTATCCAAAGCCTTGCAGACAAATCAATTACTCGTTTCTATTTTGATTTTTCATCTTCATGGCCACGTACTCCTAGTTGGATCTCTCTATTAGGAAGTGATACATTTTACTCCAACTTTGCACGAATCTTTAAAAGGCTAATACAAGAATGTGGCATGCCTGTCCTACTAGCACTTAAAGAAACATTGGAGGAGTTTGCAAATGCTAAGGAAAGGTCTAAGCAGTGTGTTGCTGCTGAAGCATTAGCTGGGGTGTTGCACTCTGATGTCAACGGTCTTTTAGGAGCATGGGACAGCTGGATAACAGTTCAGTTGCAGAGTATCATTCTTTCTCAGTCAGTGGAATCTATTCCAGAGTGGGCAGCTTGCATACGCTATTCAGTGACGGGAAAAGGAAAATATGGTACAAGAGTCCCCATCCTGAGGAAACAAATTTTGGACTGTTTGATTAAACCTTTACCTCCAGCTGTAAATACCACTGTTGTTGCAAAGCGCTACACTTTTCTTGCAGCTGCACTCATAGAAATATCCCCACAAAAGATGCCAATGGCTGAGATAGAGCTCCATAACAAACTTATGAATGAGTTGTTGGATAACATGTGCCACTCATCAGCCCAAGTAAGCATGGCATTTTCATACATTTTCTTAGTCTACTTTTCAAATTTTGTGTCTGCTGGCATATTTTGCCACTCTTGTGGATCATATGATTATGTTCTAGTAAGTTGAACTTCCTTTCTATTCCACGCGTGAAAAAGGGAATGGAGGGAATAAGGAAGAAATAATTTTTTCCAAGGAAGAGATTGATCTTATGTATTGATGTATGAAAAGAACAACCATATTTTTTGCACCCTTCTGTTTCTGTGACAGATTGAGTTGTTTTCTGATCTTGTTTCAATGGAAATTTGTCGTGGAACAGGTAAGGGAAGCCATAGGTGTTATCCTGTCCGTGTTGTGCTCTAACATTCGTCTTCAGCTGTCGTCTGCTCATGATTATTCACATGAAGGAGGCAGTGAGATTGACAATCAATTGAAAGAGGAAAAGTGGGCTTTTGTGCTGACTGACCGAGTATCTGATGTGGTCACAAATATTCAGAATACTAGCCCAGCAGACAACTTGGAGACTGATGGGCATATAGCTCTGCAAAACAAATCTTTGAATGGGGATGCACTAGATGATGTTAAGTGGATGGAAACGGTATTAACTTTCAGAATAAATTTATATTTGCATCTATAACTATTAAGAATGACTGATTTATCAGTATATTTCTTGTTTGATGTAGCTATTTCATTTTATCATCTCAACGTTGAAGTCTGGGAGATCTTCTTATGTACTGGATGTTATCGTGCAATTTCTCTATCCTGTACTTTCGTTGCAGGTATTGATGGTGCATTTTCATTGTATGTGTTACTTGACTGGTATTTGCCAGTGGTTTCCATCTAGTTGCTGCATTGAGTGCTCCAATTTTCTGAACACCCGAACTTTTTTCCATGATTCCTTTTATGCTCGTCTACACTCTAGGGTTGGCTTACATATGTTTGGACACAAACAGTAATAATGACACTTTTTATTACAAAATAGATCACAAAAGGGGGAAAACATGGTTCCTTATTTGAACAGAATAGTATTCTCTTTTGGCATTCAGTTTCCTTATTTGGTCTTGCATACAAGTCTTCCACCCAGTGCACTGCTGCACAAGCTGCGGTCATCTTGCCCACTTGTTGCTAGCATTTTGTTTTAGTGATTTTACAAACACAGATGCCAATGTGATGCACAATATTGTGGGATGCTTCAAATTCTCTGGGCAATTTGATATTGGTAACAGCATCCTTGAATTTATTTCCTTAATGTGCCTAATGTTGCTTCTGTGAAGGAAACATCAAATAAAGATTTGTCAACGCTGGCAAAGGCATGTTTTGAATTGCTGAAATGGAGAATTTTCTTGGCACCTCATCTGCAGAGGGTTGTTTCAGTGATTCTTTCTTCTGCCAGTGATCCTAACTGGCGGACCCGATCAGCTACCCTGACATATTTGCGTACTTTTATGTATAGGTAGTGTGCCTTTTCTGAATGCATCATCTCACATTGTGGACTCCTTTTTATCATATTAAACATGCTAAACTATCCTTCAATGCAAGCTATGAATTTTGCTTTGCATTTCCCACACAAGAATATGTATTAATTGTCTGTTGTGGATAACAATTTTATTTTCTGTGATCTCGTGTTTAACAAGATGTCTGTTATAGACCGGAATGTGAAAAGAAATTTTATCAGCTTGAATGTGATTAGAGCGATGTTGAGTATTTTCTGGGAATCAGCCTGAGCCTGTGTGTTAAGCAGGTATTTTTTATGATGTGGATTATAATATAGTTGGCGTGCTCTTTTTATTACAGGCATACTTTCATCCTCTCAAATGTGGAAAAACAACAAATTTGGAGCACAGTTGAAAGTCTTCTGAGAGATAATCAAGTAGAGGCAAGTTCCTGGCTGAATCTTCAATTTAAAAAGTACTATAGATTTTTAGGTGCAAATGTAGATTAGCTGTTGAAGAATAATCCTCTACTTTATTAATATTTAATAACTATCGACCTGACTGACTCTTATTTGTGATAAGAAGTTGGACTCCCAAAATAAAATACAAGTACTGAAATACTAGGTCACCAGGTGCGTTAGGATAGTCCTTTATGCGAAGGTTTCTTTCATTGTGGGAGTTTGTGAGGGAGTGAAGTCCTTGGACAACAGGACTAGTCACTCTATTTTTGCTTTCAACATAAAAAGGTGAATTCTTGGTCAGGTGAGGGAGCATGCTGCAGCAGTTCTAGCAGGTTTGGTGAAGGGTGGGAATGAAGATCTTGCAAGAGACTTCCGTGAAAGAGCTTACTTGGAGGCAAAAACGATCATCCAAATGAAGAGAAAGCAGAGGTCGTATCACCATCTAATGTTCTTTAAGTTAGATTTATCTTTCACTGAGGGTAGAATTGTCATGCACGCATTCATGCACTTGCTTTTGGGGTCTGCATGTCAAACATGCAAGGCTGGCGTTTTGCATTGAAATTTCTTTGAAAATTCTTTTGTTATTAAGTCAAAATAGTATACATGTTATTCGCCATCATCATGATTATTGAGAGTTGATCACTGCTGATATACCTTGTTTTCACGTCCCCTTTGCTTTGAGTACACAAGCAACAAGTCCTGGTATGGATAATCTTGTAATTTTAACCTAAAGATTGTTTGCATGATTGCAGGAATCTAAAAACTCACCAATCTGTAGCATCTATTCATGGTGCAGTACTTGCTTTGGTGGCTTCTGTATTGTCAGTTCCATATGATATGCCCAGGTGTGTTCATGTTAATATAGGAACTGATTGTATCATGCGTTTCCAGAATGATCCTATAATATTTTGGTTTTCGTATGAAATGGTGAGGGTGTGCCTCTAATGGAAAGCTCATAATCATGTCAGATCCTCTGTATAGTTGACTCGTCAAGTGATCATTTTAATGTCATCCAACTAGCCAATCTGTATAATCAAAATAGTGATTTGGAGTAACAATAATCCCAGTAAGAGTTAAGGTATCCTAAAAGACACCCTTGCTTAAGAAGATGGTCAAAGGGTTGTTTTTTCTGGTTCTTTTTTATTCGTAATAACGCCATCATGGATTATGTCAATCACGACAGCAGAAATGGGCTGACATGCTGGGGGTTTCGTGGAAGGAGACTTCGAATTGAAGTACCTGTATTGTGCAAGACTAGCTGAAGATCTCTCTCCCCCTCTCTCTGTTTTTTTTTTTTTTTTCTCTTTCCTGGCATCTGTTATTAAACGAGGATTCCTTGAGGCTGACTAAAATATTTTTGAAACAAGTGAATGGTTTCCCGGTAAATATCCTTCTGTCAGCTCTTGTAAACCACACCAGAAAGCCTTTTCGTGACTCTAACTTAGGGGATAGGATTGACGAGATCTGACTGTTGATATTTCATTGAATAATATATGAATACATATAAATATAATCCCATTGGCCCCTGTATTTTACCTGGTAATTTGTATCCTTTCAGTTGGTTGCCTGAGCATGTTACTTTGCTGGCTCGTTTTGGAGGAGAGCCATTACCTGTGAAATCTGCAGTTACAAAAGCAATCGCTGAGTTCCGACGGACTCATGCGGATACATGGAATGTCCAGAAAGATTCATTTACTGAAGAGCAACTCGAGGTAGCTTTGCAAAAGTTTATCTTCTTAGATGCCTTAGGTTGTATTGGAGAATTTTAATTACTTGATTCTTAAACATCTACTTATTTGATACTTGCAGGTTCTGGCTGATACATCTTCGTCGTCGTCATATTTTGCTTGATATACATTGGGTTTCTAGTAAGAGAAGATACCATACTACCAATGATTGAAAAGGTTGTTACATCAATGATTGGAAGAACAGCGAGAATTTATGTAATTCTAGGGTGTGATTAATATGATAAGTCTTCATTTACATTATTCATATTTTCATTGCACAAGATATATGTTATTGCCAATAAATGAAAGGTGTCAGTCTATTTTGTGTTGTAATGCTCTTAAATAATTGGATTCATTAGATCATCAGATGGCATATCCCATAGCACGCAGTCTGTATTGAATATGGATGAGACTTTTCTAATCTCTTTCCCACCCTCAAATTCTTCTCCGTTTTCATTGCCAAGCATTTCATGCAACCTACCTTGCTGGTCACCTGTTGTGCATGTGCTTCCAGTGCACATGCTGTGATTCCACGGCGACAAAGCTCCTTCGTTGCTGAAAGAAGATGGACAGCATAAAAATGCATTAACCGATGAAGGAAAATCATTGCAGGTGCCTGCAAAATTGGGTGAAGTAACACCAGTGGAGGCCCAGATTTTGTTTGGAGGCAACATTCCAGGTTCTTGCATAGCTCTTGATAAACCAAGCTTGATTTTCTCAATGGTATCATCATTTTCATCATGTTTAGTGGAAATACAAGGGGATGAGGTGTTCCCTTGTGCTACATTTGTGTTGCAGTGTTGCAGCTGGAAGTCGATCCGCTTTTTGGTGAGGAGGTGGAGCATTTCATCTTCGAAGCAGCCAAGGGCTGCTTCTGCTAGGTGGGTCACTTGTGGTGTTGCTAGTGTGGTGGCAATCTCTGCCATGAGGTGGGAGAAGGGTTTGTGGGTAACTGGATCTATACCCATGCCTGAAAGCTTCTTTTTCAGCTTGGTGTTCCAGTGATTTTTAACATCGTTGTCTGTGCGTCCTGTAAGCTGAGCAGCAATCAATGACCATCTGTAATGCCATTTCGCAGTCATTGAATAGCTAAACTCGATACAGAATTAGGTATAGACAGCATGCTTGAAGTTTAAAAATATATCTGAGGTTTTGAAAACAATCTTGACAACGGTATTGAAAGATTGAACAATGTAGATTAATCGGTGTACCGGTTGCCAACAACAGAGTGAAGCTTGACAATGGTCTGTTCTTCCGCATCCGAAAACTGGCCATGCTTCAGATCAGGACGAAGATAATTTGTCCACCGCAGCCTGCAGCTCTTCCCGCATCTTTGAAGACCTTAATTAATTATACAAGTAAATAAAAACAATTAGGTTATAGCATAAGATGAATGGATGATGTTATGGAGAACATTGATGTGGAGGGAAAGGGGCAGAAACCAGCATTCTTGGGGATGAGCCGCCAGTTACGGGTGCCGTGTTGGGCGATGTAAGAAGAGAGTTTGTTATCTTCTTCAGGTGTCCATTGTCCCCTTTTCACGTTGTCCTTCTCACAGCATGGAATCCTGCCCATCTTTGTGTGCTTGTCTTTTGTTTATTCTTATTCTTTCACCTTCCTCCTTAAGAAATGCTTATACTTAGCCTACTATATTGTCTACTCATGAATGAAAAGTAAAAGAAAAGACAGGTAGTAATAGAGAAATCCTCCCCAGTGCCTCAAATCTTGGGTGACCAAATTATAAAGAAAAGAAAACACAAGCGAGTGTTAAAAGAAAAAAGTTAGGTGTTGCATATTGCAATATTGCATGGGTTTAAATTAATTTTGAAAGACTAAAAATGGCATCAAAGGTGCATGATTTTACTAAACAATTCAACGCCACCGAGGGTGTGAGAGGTGGGCCGGTAGCTCACCCACAAGACACCTTGGAGGTCAACTCCCTTTCTCTCTCCCACCCTGCTTGACAATCCTTTGTAGGTCATTGCAAATGTTTTCGGTTGGGCTTTGGTCACACAAGTTTACCACCTCCTCCATGGTAAGACTCAAATTCCTTGGACCAGAACAAGTGACGTTCAAGTTTGTTGCACGTACGTGGGGTTTGTTTTGTACAACTTGTAAGAAAGAAGTCGGTTGATGCAGTAGAGTGGACTAGACATAACTGTTCTTGTACACTTTCTTAATGGCTGATGATTTATAGACATTATAGTTTATGGACCCAGCACAACCCTAGACCAGATCTAACCCTAGACCAGGTCTGACACTGTGGTTGTGTGCAATACTAGAAGCATTTGACAAATGGATTCATCATCTTAGTGAAAGACACTTTAATATCAAATGGACCGCGAAAGGTTAAGATGCATACTACATGAAAGATACGGAAATTTGGTAGTAGAGCTAAATGCGGGGATTTCATTAACAAGACTGAAACTACAAGAAATGCATTAACCGAAAAAAATAACTACAGGGTCTGTATTAACAGTTGTGAAAGAAACACGGATGAAATATATCGTCAATCATTATTGTGAACAAATGATGTAATTCAGCTTGTTACAGTTGCTAGTCAATAGAATGGGGTATGATTACAACGAGTAAAACAAATAATACAACAATTATCCGTTCTTGTTTACAGTGGGTTCAGGATGCGCATTTGGCATCCGTGATGTTGAGAGAGATCACCAGGGCATTCACAAACTATCAACAAGTCCATTCCTGTAATTGGTATGTATATGTATATATATGCACGACCATGTTTGGGAAAAAGAAATGCCTCAGTAGAAAACACAGGTTCAAAGATGTTGAGAGAGAGATCACTAGGGCATTCACAAACTATCAACAAGTCCATTCCTGTAATTGGTACACACACACACATGTTAGGAGAAAAGGAATGCATCAGCAGAGAACACAGCATTAAACGTGTTTGATACACAATCAGATGAGTTTTGCCAGTCACATGGGAAAATATTTCATTTGAACATAAGAGTCAGGCAACAACAACGTAAAAAATGTTCCAAGTCTCTCACTTCCTGTTTCTTTGATCCAACAAATTACAAGTCAAAATCAATCTTTAATTTTGACTCGTAAATAGTTGGAAAATAAGTTTTCTTAATGTCAAACAACATACCAGACACCTCTTAGAGCTTAAGAAATCTAATCCATTCACCTCACTTATGCATCGACTTGCAATTTTAATTCCTAAGAAATAAAATATTCATTTCATTGATAACAGAACGTAGTATCTCTGCTCAAATACTCACACTTTATAATGTAGATACTGATCTACTGTGAGAGGCTTAGGACCACCAAACCAATTGATCAAGAATATATCCTCGATGTCTAATTTGAAGAACTGGAAGTTGTGACCCTTAGGCCAACCTGTAAACCATCCAAAAGCAAAATATGCAAGCCTGCTAAGTGAGTAAAAGACAATAAGATAAACAGGTGCCAAAACAAAGCTCTATTTGTTTAATATTTTCTGATTTGCAAAATATAGAAATGGAAAAAGGCTGTTGCTAATATGTGAGCATTACCCCTCATCTCTGGATGCTTCACAAACAGGGCGCTTTTAGCTATTTCTGCTTCCTTAGAATTTTCTTTTAGTACCTTCAACTAATATATTACACAAGGCAATACTTCCAGTTAGTTCAACTTTCCAGAAAACTCATTTTCAACAAGCTACCAATTAAAAAAAAATCAGAAAAACAGCAGCAGCAGCAAGACGTTATCTCTTCTCGCTTAAGAACTCAATAAAGCTGCACCTTGTGGCTTGATGGTGGAAAAGTTTTGAAATTAAGGAAATCAGGAGTAACTAGGGAGTAATAAGAACCTTAAAATACAAAATAAACGATTAAATGTTTAGCATCCATCCATATGTGAGTTTAACATGACAATTTAGTTTACCTATCTGATGCAGGTAGAAGTGAGAATAGAATAGGAATTATTTTTTAGGAGGTTTATTTCTGTGCTGTGTTTTTTTTCTCTTTGGTGATGACAACAAGTTTCGTATAAGACTGAGCTTTTGTGTTAGGAACTTATAACAAGCTATGAAAAGGAAAGGGCTTTTGAAATAGTAATCAAGGGAAGAACTTTGGCTGGATTTGGCAAAACACTTGGGTGGCGTATTACAGCAGCCATAGCTGCTACATCAACAGCAACCCAGTGATGGTCGTGAGCGAGACAACACAACCATTGCAGGAAGAAGGAAATCAGGAAGGAAACTTTTATGAAAATTCAGATTTTGATGCCGAAAGTGATTGGTCAAATGGGTTAAATTCAATCTTCAATCTTTTTCATGAGGATTTCAAAGATGAACAAGCCAACATTGATAGTTTCATTGGTTGGCAAAGTTTGACCCTTATTCTGAAGTAGAAGATATAACAGAAGCAAATTTTTCATAAGCTAGTCAAGAAGAGAATAGTGGACGCTTATAGAGAGATCAACACAAGCCTAATAGTGCCATTTTGGAGTTAGATGGTGCAATGACAGCATATTTAAATTCCATTTTAGCTCAATAATGTTTCAAAGCATTATATTTCTACCAAAATAAGTTTTTCGGTCAATATTGTTTTTTTCTTTCTGGAATGATAGTTGCTTGGGTCATGTTTAAGACTCTTTTGGCTGTTATTATATTGGATTGAGAAAGGTGTTTCACATGAGACAATGAAGAATCAAAATTGACACTAGAAGCATGGCACTGTTCATGAAATACCTTGACGAGCTTCAACATTCAAACACTCAAATTCTCTTATAGTGCCAATGTATTTTAAGTTCTAACTTGCCAGGAGTGGAGTCTTTCTCAACTGATGCATGTAAAACTAAGAATAACTAGAATAGAAATTTCTTTTTAGGAGATTTATTTTCTTTCCTGGTTCATAATATCCTAACTGGAATTTTCTATGTTCAGATCAGACCTACGTAGTCAGTGGCAGAGTGTGGACTAAAATGTTTATGTTAGAATTATCATTAGACTTGATGAATATTTGTAAGAATTTTCAGGGGGGGCTAATATGAAACTAAACCTAATTTTAGGAACTATAGTGGATTTTAAAAAATTTTGGGGACGCCATGCCCCCATGCTTAGCCTATGCACCACCACTGTACTAAGTATAGAATATCCTATCCTAGATATTTCCTAAATAAAACATTTCTTATTACAAATATTAATATTAATTGAGAGATTTGAGAATTATAGTTTTGAGAGCTGATGTGGTTTCAAATAGTTAATGCTATTACTTTATTTTATTTTTTTTGAAAAATTTCAGTTTTAAGTTTTCATCTATACTGTATATCGTGTGCAGTGCACCACTATCTGAATGACCTAATCAGAAAAATTAATTAGAATGTCTAAGAAGAATCATAAAAGTAGCAAATTCAGTTTCTAGGCTTTGTTACATGTACATATAGAATAGGCTGGTTGCTCTCCTAGAAAATGGTTCTTAGGCACCTTATTCCATACAATTCTTGTGTACACTAAAACCAAATATCAATATGAATGTAAGATGCTTGACTTTGCAGCATACCTTTCCGGTCAACGTTATTTTTGCACAAGAGGGGTTCTCAGGGTCTTTCTTTCCACAAGTTCCCAAAGGGTACTCGCTGATAGTAAATGACGACCTCTGGTCTTGTAATGCATTTTTCGCAGTTGGATCAAGAGTTGTCAAATAAAAGTATGGGACGCCACTACCTTCACCAGGCAGTCCATCACTAAATGAAACAACATTCCTAAAGCACAAAACAATGCATCAGAGCACAAGAATAACAAGAAAATCCAGAAAAATGGAAATCGATAGATGTGGGAGAAAAACTTACCCAATGCTTTATGTTTCACCATGATTGATTTATATATATATATATATAAGAGTATCACCAAAGTTGCCAATCTTGGGCAAAAATGAAAAGGTAAGGAAATATAAATATGTTCTGTTTATTTTGCTTCTGCTATGTGTTTGATTATACTATGGTTGTTACCAGAAGACAGAACGAAAAGATGGTTGTACCTTGTACCAGTACAGGTAAAAGGAAAACCTAGTTTTTATCATTTAATGGAGAAAAGGCACAAAGAAAATCCAGCAAATGTGTGATCAAATGGAAAAGCAAAGGCTATAAAATGCTTATAAATGGGTCAGGATGACCAAAATGATTGACAATCACCAGCAGATTTGTTTCCTTCAAGTGTGAGTTGAGACAATCTCAAGTCTAACAATTAATTTGAGTAGTATCAGGATCTTGTAATAGTACTAGCAGAAGACTTAAACAAATCAGAGCCCCTCCAAAATATTTGAACCTTTTCCAGTCAGTTTGTCTCTTGAATTGTTAGAATAAAAAATAAGTCTCATGATAACAATGAGAATAATACATTTGGTTAATCCCAGGCAAGAATCCTACCAACACAAAAGTTCAGAAAATGTTAAAACAGGCCCCAAGAAATGACTATATGTTCCCAAAAGGTCTCAAATTTAAAGGCCTTCACAATCTCGAGGGTCGAGACCCCTGGGCTGGTGCGAAAAAATAGCACAGCTCCCCTTTTCAAAAACAATCTTAATCATGTCAATCATATGAATAAGGTCCGATACGAACTGAAACAGAACAGATAATAACAGTAACTTCAACTCTCCTATCCATTTCGAGGACTAAATTTAATATTTCGAAATAAAAGAGCTAGCAGAAATCATAACTCGTTCACTTGTATAAAATTTGTTTTAGCATTCTCATCCTTCACCAAGAAATGAACATATTCAGTCCCTTACGAAGAAATCACTTAAAAAATGCAGCTCTAATCATAAGAGATTAAGAAAGAACTCTATAGCAAAAGAAATGGCAAAACATACCCAAATGGTGCTCCTCCCAGATCACTTGAAATGGTACTGGAACCAAAAAAAACTAAACAAAGTCACAATCTGAACTTGCCACAAGCCAAACCATATCAAAATATTAAAAAATCTAATCAGCACAAGCAGTAAGGCAAATGATAAATAAAGAAAAAATCCAACTGAAATAAACTTAAGTAGTGAGGGGGGGAGAAGACATACTTTAAGACACCCCAAGAATTTTGAGAGACCAGCCAACGAGCCGATGCAGCAGGATCATTGGGGTCAGGTTTATTGATTAATAATAACCTTCCCTGCACAAAATCTTGAAAACGGACAAAGAGGAAGAAGAGAGCATAGAAACAGTTAGTACGGCTTTTGGTACCCATTCTTTCAAGGGAAAAAACCAAGACGAAGACCTTCTGCACAGTGGCTCTGCTCTGTAATCACATACAAAGGGAAAAAGGGAGAAAAGAAAAAAAAAATGAAACCAAATAATTCGTTGCTGATGATAATTGAACTGTGCTGCTGTTTGATTTTTGCTTTTGAATTATTAAAGTTTCTTACCGCATAGGACAAGAAATAAAAGCACAAAGACGAATTTACCCTTAATAATAACCTATTAACCGCAGCTGACAAGCCTGACCTGGGGTTGCTTTGAAAAGGAAAATGGATAGTTCGACCAGGATCATCAGGTCAGTATAGCCGACCATTTTGTTTGGTAATGTAACCGAAGCCGTGTTTTTCAAAAAATTAAAAATAATTTTTATTTAAAATTATTTTGATGTATTTTTATTTTATTTTGATTTATTAATATTAAAAATAATTTTTATTTAAAATTATTTTGATGTATTTTTATTTTATTTTGATTTATTAATATTAAAAATAATTTTTAGAAAATAAAAAATATTATTTAAATATATTTCCAAACAAAAATTAAAATTACTTACATTCTCAAAACGGTAGCGTTTTCTTTCTATTATTAAAGATACTTTGGGTGCTCGAGGAGAGCCCGATTTTTTTTTTTTTTTTTTCAATTTACGTGGAGTGTCCGGGCTAGATTACGTGCACTACGACTAACCCCCACGACCCACTAAATACCCTGCAAACTCAGTAGGCATGTAAAACACGACGGGGATGACAAACATATACGCTAGGGCTCGAATCCAGGTGCAGTGGAAGCCCCTTCCACCGCTAAGCCAAGTCCTAGTTTGCAAGAGCCCGACCTTCTTTAACAAGGCTTGTGGTGTCCATTTTGTAAGAGCAAAATCAAAGAAAATCTTCTGCACACCGTGTCTGCTATGTGTTTAATATATACAAAAAGGGATAAAGAATTTGAAGATATCTTCGGGCTAGCTTATGCTTCCTCTGAAACTAAGTTCTTTTTTGAACGAAGACTTTAATAAGTTTTTCTTGATGCTGACGATGTTAAGGATAATATTTAATGGGATCAAGACAACAAATACAATGCAGTCCTTGGCTTAATCTTGCTCTGATAAGCCCTTCAACCGATCCAGTCAAGATAAATGCTGATAGGCTCACATAGCATCCAAAACATCAAGACATTAATGACAGGATGGGAAAGAATCTGTGTGCGCCTGTACTAGGCTACTGTTGATTGTGATCTGATGTTTCTCATGTAGTCGTAAAATTTTTCACGAGAAAATCCTTGACATTATTATTTCTCAATGCCCTTTTTTATTATTAATTTCAATGACTAGGTGCAGATATAACAGTCCTTGTGAATTGTGATGCAATGAAAGGGATCACTCTATTTTTTTATGCTCAAATTGGCAAATATTATTTATTTTGTGTTATTTTCATGTATGCAAATATTGTTCTTAAGGACAAAGATAATTGATAGTGCATCCGCCAATTATTGCTTGAAATGGACTTCTGACAGTGTATACTTGAGGAGAAAAGAGGCAACTGGTTTCGAGTATATGCACAGGAGTAGATTGCATGAGCGGTGGTTTTGCCTTGTGCATCTAGTAGGCCCGGAAGGTATGGCCCAAGCTCCAACGTTCTGTTACTTTCTTCTTTCTTTGTTAAGGTTTAATATGTTTCTTTACCTCAAACTTGTTGGTATATTAGGTCAAATTGTATTATTGAAGACACGATGAGATCCTCTCAGTACCCTGCTGTAATCAGATTTGTCCCTTCATATGTTTTCTTGGTGTTAACTAAAGTGATTCGGAAGTCCTATCATGACTTGATCCTCCCTTAAACATTGAATCAATTGGTTGTTCCTATTCTATGCGACATGCGTGCTGATCACATGGCTTCAGTTAACCAATGGAAGACAGCCTATTCTCAGTTGCACTCCAATTTGAGCTAGCCTAGCCGCCGATGAATGAGTTTGGTCTTGGCATGAATGATCTTAAATTTCCAGGACATACCCTGTTGAGAAAATTAAACGAGGAGATTTATTGTCTGTCTGTCCAGCTCATATACGTACTGGTTTCAGAGGACATGGGCCCTTCTGGAGTTTTGTCATCATATCCACACCCAAAAAAGGAGCAAAATTTTTTGTTATAGTGTTTCAATGTTTGATGACAACTCATCATCAAACTCTGACAACAGTAACAGAAAAAAGAAACACATGTTAGAAAAAAGAAACACGTGTTAGTGAAAGGGCTGCGAGTGCTGTTAACCATCATCTGGCCCTATAAGGCTAAAGGAAATGTTATTGATCAACAAGAAAAGTTGGGAAAGGTGAACTAAATATGGAGTCAAATGGGGCTATCAGACATAGTGGTATGTTTTAGATTCAAGCATCCGAATCTTTAACCAACCTTGATGAAAAGGGTTTTCAGGGTAGAATCAACCTCCAATCACGGACAGGTCGGGTTTCTGCCTTTTCTTAATTGCTACAAATAGTTCTCAATTCTGTGTCTTCCATATAGGATAGCTGGTAGGATATCTCCAGTAAATTTCTGTCACTGACACTGACACTGACATTCTCACCAAGAGAAATGGAGAAATCTTAATGATGTGAGAGGGATAGATACAAATGACCACATCAACTATTATGACATGTGTAGGGCATAGTGTTTTACATCATTGCTATGCATGGGGCACAGTGTTTCTTTCAGATCTTGTTGAGCTTAATCCTTACATTTTGGGTTTACAGGTAGGAAATTTGTAGCGAACTTCATTGCCTCCCTTGAATTTGATAGTCATGGCAGTCAAACATGAGCTAGAGAATAGTTTGTTGCTTGATGATGATGGGCGGACAAGAAGAACTGGTAATGACACTTCCAACTTCCCAGTCTAATTTGCATAATTTGGTGTGTGCTCTGTTAATCTTGAGTTTACCTCCTGCCGGAAACTGAACCAGGAACCTTATGGAGTTGCATAGCTCATATAATTACGGCTGTTATCGGCTCTGGTGTTCTGTCTTTGGCTTGGAGTGTAGCACAGCTAGGGTGGATAGCGGGTCCAGTTGCCATTCTTTGCTTTGCTATCGTCACCTATGTTTCTGTTGTGCTTCTTTCTGATTGCTACAGATATCCTGACCCTGTCACTGGAACACGAAACTACTCTTACATGGATGCTGTTAGAGTGAATCTTGGTAGCAAAACACCCACTCCCTTTTAAACCTTGAGCTTATTTTGTTCCCTGAATATTCATGCTTGGCAATGTTTAGATAATCTACCTTCTACAAGCATCCTAATTTTGAGTGGTGACGTTGCAGGTAAAACCCAGACATGCCTTTGCGGATTGTTTCAATATCTGTTCATGTATGGGATTTGCACTGCATATGTTATTACCACTTCGACTAGTATGAGGTACTTCCATGGTGAATTTCTTGATTTATGCCTTGTTTTATTCCAATTATCGAGGACCATTATTGTCTATTCCATAGTGCTTCGTTTATTGTGAAGTTTGAGCCATTATCTAACAACTTGCAGCGCAATTCGACGATCAAACTGTTACCGTGAAAAAGGTCATAATGCACCATGTGAAGACGTGGATACTCCGTATATGCTGATATTCGGAGCTGTTCAGATTGTAACGTCACAGATACCAGATTTCCACAGCATAGAATGGCTTTCAGCTCTTGCTGCAATCATGTCTTTTGCCTACTCTCTTACAGGATTTGGACTTGGCTTGGCTACAGTAATAGGTAGATGTTTATTCATTCTCTATTATCAGAGGCATCTGGCTTTGCAATTGAAATTCAATCCTCAGATACGAACAAATCTGTGAAAATTCAAAATTGCTACAAATATGTTGTATTGAAAAAAATAATCATGGATCACATGTTTTTGTAGAGGCAGCTTCTTTGCTTTTAACATTGTTTTCAATAATTTCAGAAAATGGGATGATCAAGGGAAGCATTACAGGTGCCCCAGCTGCTACTAGAGCTAAAAAACTATGGTTAGTCTTTGAAGCTCTTGGGGACATTGCTTACGCCTATCCATACGCACTAATTCTTCTTGAAATTCAGGTCTGCCCTCAATTGTCCAAAATTCATTATCTTACAAATTATCAGAGCTAAAATGAACTAGAAAATTGTTAAATGAAGGATACTTTGAAGTCACCTCCACCTGAGAACAAGACCATGAAGAAGGCATCGATGATTGCACTCTTCTCGACAACATTATTTTACCTCTTCTGTGGATGCTTTGGATACGCAGCTTTTGGCAACAATACTCCTGGAAATCTTTTGACCGGACTTGGATTTTATGAGCCTTACTGGCTCATTGACTTTGCTAATGCTTGCATTGTTCTACATTTGGTTGGAGGCTATCAGGTACTTCCCTTTTACTCTCTTCCCTGCTTTAAAAGTAAAAAGTATCCTACGCTAACTGCTAACATGCTTCCTGTTTCCATCAAATCCAATGCATCTCCTGTGTCCTAGGCGATGCTCTCTTTATTCTGTCGCGAACAATAGTTGGACGAGGATTTCATATTACAGCTTGCAGTTTGATAAGTTTTTGAGTAACTATGATACATGTTTCTTTCTTTGTCAGCTCTTCAGTCAGCCAGTATTCACGTTTGTAGAACGTTGGTCCTCGAAGAAGTTCCCAAACAGTGGATTTCTGAATAACTTCTACAGCATCAAACTCCCACTGTTGCCTTCTTTTCACATTAATATTTTCAGGATATGTTTTCGAACTGCATATGTTGTGTCAACGACCGTGATTGCCACTGTTTTCCCTTACTTCAACCAAGTTCTGGGGCTATTAGGGGCCTTAAACTTTTGGCCATTAGCCATATATTTACCCGTAGAAATGTATTTTGTACAGAACAAAATAGAGGCTTGGACGAGAAAATGGGTTGTTCTCAGAACATTTAGCTTTGTTTGCTTTCTTGTATCAATTGTAGGCTTAATTGGGTCAATTGAAGGAATTGTAAGTGCTAAATCTATGTAGAACCGTTTTTGTTTTTACTTGGATCAAGGATTTATTAAAAAGAGGTGATTTAAATAAGTACTGCAAGCAAATATTAATTTTCTAAAACTAAAAAACGAAGAAACCAAGCTTATGAAGCAAATTCTGGCAGTGTTCTTAGCTAGCTAGCCTGTTAATTTCAACATGATATCAGACAATATCACAATCGTATAAGATAAATGAATTCATGATACTTTAAAATCACCTCCCTCAGAGAACAAGACAATGAAGAAGCCCTCGAATATAGCGATGATTGGCATAACAATTTTCTACCTCTGCTGTCAAGGCTTTTATGCTAGGCATCGCCGCCGCTATCATCCAGAGTCATGTTGGAACATATTCCACGGCTGGCTCTCCTTGAAACAATTGCAAAAATGGATCAAATGAGAAGTACAATTATCAATTTGTCACCATGTCCAGTACACTTGGCATTAAAAACAGTGGATGACAATCAGCATACAACTATATATAAAATGAAACTCTGCTTGAGCACCTAAACATGGTGGCTAGGCATGTGACCAAAGTCAGGAGCTATACTTGTGTAAAATAGCTAAGAATTCACCTTTGAAGCACATTATTGTTGGGTTTTTCAAAACAAATGAAATTACAAATTTAAATTTTTTTTTGGAAGTAGTAAGAATTTTTATAAATATATTTAAAGTTGTTTATGGTTTATGTAAAAATTACTTAAAGATTAAATATTTTTTTTAGCTTTAAATATTTACTTAAAGATTAAGTTATCACAAATTATAAGTCATCTAAATATCTGGCCTCTAATAATAACTTACATAAATCACCAGTAAGAAATCTCATAAATCCTTTTAGTAAAGAGATATTATTATACCTTAGAGTGTCATTGATTAGTACTTAAAATTATATTTTTATCAAGATTTTATATCATCATTTTGCACCTAAAGTATCATTAAATTCACTAACTTAAGCATGTTTTATAATAATAAGTCTAATGATATAAGATAACTTTAATTTATAGTAAATGCTCATTTTAAATGCAGGCATATCTCACAACTCAAAGAACTGATTGATGTGATTAACTATTGAAAATGAAAGGACAAAGAAAATGCTAAACTTGGTAAAGAGATGTTGATTCAATTCAAATTGGAACACTATTCAGTCATTAGGTCATATCTGGAGCTGTAGATCTTGGATTTTAGTTTGGTTTACATAACTAAAAAGTCAAGACATAGGCCTAAAACATTCATAAAAGTCCAAGACTCAATTCTGCTGTTTGAAGATTCAAATCTTAGCATCAAAAGAGAAGTTTGAATATGTTCTACAGTTCAGATATTGTTCAGTGTTCAGCCCATATCTCAAGTTCTAGAAGTCCAAATGCACTGATTTTTTCAAATTCTGATGTTAGCAATGATATTTTTGGCAGACAAGAAGATAAATATTGTCACAAAGTCAAGAGGTGATCACTCATTCAACAATTAGTCATCAAATCAATAATTCTAAATTTTAGCCTATAAAAGGAGGCATTTGTCATGCATTTAGGCATCTTGGTTTTCAGATCAAGATTATGTTACTGCTTGATTTCTTTATATTTTTGTAATGCTCGAGTTTTGCTTTCATTAATCTCTTGTTTATACCTTTTATTTCCTTTACTATACTTATATAATCATATTCTCCTCTTGTTTAATTATGTTTCTCTTCTTCATTATGTTTAACTAATTTTATTATATTAAGGTGAAAAGGTTTCACTAATGGTGTTAAAATAAGTATAATATAAACTCAATATGGACTTCAATGCTTATATCCTAAATAACTTGCTGTTAACATGTCTTATTATTTTTATCTTATTAATTCTTAATACCTTGCTTGTTAAATGATTAATCTAGATTTGTGTTATATAACACTTAATACAATAAATGCTTGACACTTTCATAACTAACCATACGATATAACCTACATCTATGCTATGAAAGGAATTTTATTTGTTGTTAACATAAGTTAGCATCATGAATTCCTGATAATATTTGAAATTTTAGTGTTACTTAAATAAAATAATTAATAAGATCATATTAACAATTTATAATAAACTATTAATGATAAATCATCTGATTGGAACCTCCTTTGTGTGTGGTTTTCAATTAGGTAATAAAAAGAGTTTATATTATATTTATTTTTAATAGTATTAGTGGATCCTCTAACCTCAATATTTGTTTTTATTATTATTTAATCCTCACATTAATTTTACATTTCAAAGTCTTCTTTAACTTCTTCTTCTTATTGTTGTTGTTATTGTTATTATTATATAGTTAACTTCTCTGTGGTTCGATCTCGGTCTTGCCTGGTTATTTATTACTTCGACACTCTTATACTTGGAAAAAGATATCACTCTCTTGGTCATCTCAGTCAACTCTTTTCTTTTTATGTTTTAGGTGTTTATGTACTATATGTAACTCACCATTCACTTCTTTCTCTTGGAAAATAAGAATCATAATATTTTATTTATAGGAAAATCAAAAAACCTTATAAATAATAAAATATCAATTTTTTTCTTAAATAATATCATATATATTATTTTAGGATAATTTTAAAATCATAATACCTTATATTAATTACATTCTAGTCCTTAGTTTCAAAAATTTATTTATAATTAAGTCACATTTGATTAATCATCTCATTTTAATTTATGATTAATAGTTTTTATATAGGTGATTCATTAGATTCTTTAATAAGTTAGCCCAAATATAAACCATAATCCTAAATAAAATAACATGAAATAAATTAAACAAATTAACTTATTATCAATTCAATAACTGATTGATTTATATTTGAAGACTAAGTACAATGTATAACAACTTATTTGTTTTAGTTCATGTTATGCCCAATATCAAGGGTGTTGAATCCTCTCTTGATTACTTAAATACATTTATATAGTTCATGTTATACTCAATATTTATCCATTTGTTACCTTTGATTAGGATAATGCATAACAGAATCAAAATATAACACTCCTTATATAAGATAACTTAATAATATTAAGTCTAAAAATCACTTACACAACCCGCACGTGATTTTTTTCATAGACACACACGATTTCTTCATATAAAATTCTCATGTAGGTTAGTTTAGTATACATATCATTTGACATGTACTTAAATATTAGTTTTAGATATCTCTTATACCTTAGTTTATGAGAACAACTGTTTTTTTCATTAAAAAAAACATAACATGTACTAGTCTCAACAACTCTAATTAATATTTAGTCTTAATAGAGCATTGGCTAGAAACATTTAGAAACAATGCTTTAATATAATAAAAATACCATGATTATAACAACTTTATCATTTTCTTTATTAAATATTTTTGTCCTAATAACTTTATCTTTACTCTAATTTATTAATCAAATATTATACTCATTAATAAAATATTTGATGAATATTAAAGATAAATAATTTTTTTATTAATAAATTAAATATATTTACATGAATAAGGTCAGTTTTACGTGTAACCAATCAAATGGCTAGAGGACATATACATTAATAATCTCTTACTTATACTAAAGTCAATCACTTATGTATCAAATATCATATCTCTCTATTTGACGATAGTGTTTTTAATAGGGCAGTGACTTAGTAAGAAGATCTTCAAATTCTCTTTAGTTGGTACTCGCACTATCTTTACATATTTTCTTTGTATGATTATTTAATCAAATGGAATTGTTTAAGTATATTTTTGAATCATTGATGAGACTTAGGCTTCTTTGCTTGTACAATGGATCTATTGTTATCACAGTATATAGTTATTGGATCAACAATCCTAGGAAACATACATAATCCAGTGTGAACTTATTGATCCAGACAATCTATTTTGTCTCCTCAAACATAGATGTGTGCTCAATTTTAGTTGTAGAATCTATTTTGATCTCTTATTTTAAACTCTTCTAGCTCAATATCATTATTTAAAGTAAAATATAAACTAAATAAATTTGTTATTTTCATTATCTTATTAAAAACTAGTATCCAAATAACCATGAACTACTAGTTCATCTCCTTCATAGACTAGAAAAATATTTTTAATTCCTGTTAAGTATTTAAAAATATTTTTAACTATTTTCTAGTGACTCTCATTTAGATTAAATTGGTATCTACTAATTATACTCAAAACATAAAATATATCTGGTCTTACATAACATCATATATATTATGTATCTTATATGTAGTGTATGGAATCATTTTTATCTTATCTCTCTCAATTTGTGTTTTAGAACACATATCTCTAGAGAGAGTATTATATGTCAAATAGATAAATATTATCTTTTGGATTCTTTCATGCTAAGTCATTTTAACATCTTATCTATATACATGGATTGAGACAATACATGCAATCATTTTTAGATCTATTTTTATAGAAATATTTAGTATATAAATTGTTTCTCTCATGCCCTTCATAAAGAAATTCTTGAACAACCAGATTTTTACTAACTAGAGTAAAGAAATGTTGTTTCCTATTAATAATATGTTGTCTACATATAATATTTGAAAATAACTTCAATCTCACTAACCTTTTCATAAACACAAGTTTTATTCGTATTTTTTTAATCAAACTACTTGATTATCTCATTAAAATGGATATTTCAACTCCTCAAATCTTGCTTAAGTTCATAAATAAATTTTTATAGCTTGCATAATTTATTGGCAAATTCCTTGGATTTAAAAAACTTTTAAATAGTGTCACATGCACTCTTTTTAAAGATTCTCATTTAGAATTGTGATTTTGACATCCATTTTTCAAATCTCATAATTATAGCATATAGCTATAACAAGCAAAATCTTTATAGATTTTAATATAGTTACTGGCAAAAAGGTTTCTTCAAAATCAATCTATTTGTCTTTATTTATAATATTTGACAACTAGTCTAGTTTTGTGTATTTGTAGATTGTCTTTCATGTAAATCTTTCTCTTAAAAACTTATTAACATCCAATGTGTTTTATCCCTTTAAATGGATCAGCTAAGGTCCATATTTGGTTAGTGTACATGGAATTCAATGTAGATTTCACGACATCAAGCTATTTTCTTATAATCAATATCAGATATTAATTCCATGTAATTAGTAGGCTCGTCAAGTACGAACAACTTGTCATTTTTAGCTTTTATGATAAGTCCAAATCTCAATGGTGCATAACGTGTCATACCAGATCTATAGAGTTCTTATATTTCTTAAGCTTGAGGTTGAAAATCTAATTTTATAGCCTTGAACTCTTTTCAATAACAATTCTTGTTTTAGAAAGGTTGCATATTTTGAGATAAATATTTTTTCTTAATATGATGATATGAATAATATCCAATAATTATTTTTTGAAATCCCACAAACTTATATTTATCTAATTGAACTCCTAGCTTTCAGATATAATACGCTTCATATAAGCCTTTTGAACCTTTTAAATGATTCGGACTTTCATCAAATACACATAATCATATCTAATATGGTAATACATAATGAAACATGTATATACATCCATGGAACGAATTGGTATTGGTCCATATGCATTTGTATGTGTTAGACCTAATAATTTATTAGATCTGTTATTCTTTTAGTAAATAGTGCTTTGGTCATCTTACCCGGTAACATAGTTATTAAATCCAGATCATTTTGACGGGTCAACTTGGTGGCTAAACCGATTCAAGTTTGTTAAAAGACCGAGCAACAAATCAGTAAAACCTGATTGACCCATGACCCAGGCGAACCTGAATAAGACCTAGTGTTTTTTTTTCTTTTTAAATGTGGTTTTTATCCTTTAGCCTCCCTTCTTATTTCATCATCTTCTCTATAATGAGCTAATGTTAGCAACGAAGAGGAAAGGAGAGTGAGGGATGCTACTATGTTCGGCTGTCGCTGGAGGCGGGTCCAAAAAAAGAGACTCAGGTCTCGGTTTAGTAGAGATAGGGGAAGTTGGAGACCATATTTGTAGTGCTAGTCTCCTGTGTCAGTGGGCGGCAACTCTAGCTAGGAGAAGAAAACAACTGGGGAAGAAGAAGAAGAGGCTCTCTAGTTTTGACCAAAAGGCTAGGGGGATGACTGTGAGAGGGATGAGAAAGTTATGGTCGTGTAGTGGCTTTTTAGTTTAGCCAAAAAGCCAAGGGGGTGACTGTGTAGGGGCTTTTTAGTTTGGCCAAAAAGCCAAGGGGGTGACTGAGAGAGGGATGAGGGAAGTTGTGGTCAGACCTCTTTGGCAGCTGCTTTGGTTGGTTTTGGGAGAGAAAATCCAAAGTTAGGGGGAGTGTCAATTTTTTTTTTTTTTTGTAGAGATAGGGAAAATTTTAGAGCTTTTTATATGCCTTTCCTTCAAAAAATTTAGTTGACCAGGAAATATATTAAATTTCAATATGGGAACTTATGTTGATCTAGACATTCCCGTACCTTCTAAAGCTATTTGGCTGGGAAATATGGAAACATGTTTTACTAGAAAAGAAAGGTAAACTGTGAGGATATTTTCTTAGATGTTTGAGCTATACAAAGAATTTATTCTGAAGTGATAATGCATTACTTGATTCTAAAAACAAGGGAAAGATGCTTCTATTAAAGCTGTTGTCAATAGCTTTCAAAAGAAAGCAAAAGGAGTAAATCTCAGCAGAGGGCCACCACCCCTGATCTTTGAGAGAGAAGATAGTTTTTTTAAAAAAATTTGGGTTGACCCATAAAATCAGGGACCTAGCCCTCTTAGCCAGGTCAATCTTAAGGTCAAGTTTAACAACTATGTCCGGTAAACAAGCTTGTAAAGTTTTATATTATTCATAATCAAAAAGATCAAATATCTTTCTTTATGTAACTTGGTGACCCTACTTTCATTAGCAAGTTAATTAAGAGTTTATGCTACTTTATTTGTTGGTATATTTTACTTGTTTTCATGAGATTTTTTTTATTTTTCGTGGTTCAATGTCTTAGATACTTTATTATTATACTTTATTATTATATTGTTTTCATTAAGTGTAGATTTTTTTTTCAAAAATTAGATTTTATTTAATGTAATAAATATTTTGAATTATAAATTATTTTATTAATTTCGAAGAATATTTGAAATATTGCGTGTATTACGCATACAGCACACATTTGTCACAGAATTAATTCACACAAATTCTAGGATAAGCCTTCACTCATCCTCTGGTTTTGCCAACGTTTTGTACGATATGTTGCGGGCTTTGACATCAATAAACTCCGCAGTGCTTTCACTAACAAACAAAATCATCCATATCATATGGTTTAACAGCCAATTCATCTGAGACGATTGTTCATTGACCCCTATGGCATGTGGATCCATCACTGTGGCTGGCTCTTTAATGGCTTGTAATAAAATATCACAATCGGTGAGCGAGACTTGACGCTAGGACAATTGAAGCTTCCCAACGGTATCCTGTAATAAAGCTCCTTAGTGAAGAAGCATTGAAAAATAGCAATACAAGCAAGAGAATAATAAAGAAACAGGCTGTATAAAGTTCATCTTCGCGTTGAAGACTAAGCGAAAAAAGAAGCATATAAGGTAATGAGAACTCTAATCTCTTCAATACTCAGAATATTTCTGTTCTATATCTCAATGGAAACTCTTGATCCAATCCAAGAAACCTTTCTCCAATGCCTGTCCACTCATTCTTTAACCTCCACACCAATCTCTGAAGTCACATATTTCCCCAACAATCCTAACTACTTGTCAGTTTTGAATTCTTACATCAGAAACCTTGTATTCACATCTCCTACGACACCAAAACCTTTGTTCATTGTAGCCCCCACTCATGTTTCTCACATCCGGGCATCAATCATTTGTTCCAAGATTCATGGTCTTGAAGTCAGAATCCGCAGTGGAGGCCATGATTATGATGGCCTTTCTTATGTGTCAACTGCGCCGTTTATCATGGTTGACTTGTTCAATATGAGGTCTGTTAGTGTTGACATAGAAGATGAGAGCGCTTGGGTAGAGTCAGGTGCTACACTAGGGGAAGTTTATTATAGAATTGCTGAAAAGAGCAAGATTTACGGCTACCCCGCTGGAGTTTGTCCAACAGTTGGTGTTGGAGGCCATTTAAGTGGAGGTGGATATGGTAACTTGATGAGGAAGCATGGTTTGTCCGTTGATAATATTGTTGATGCAGTACTGGTTGATGCTAATGGTAATGTCTTGGATAGAGAAGCAATGGGGGAGGATCTTTTCTGGGCTATTAGGGGAGGAGGCGGAGCTAGTTTTGGAATCATTGTTTCATGGAAAATTAAGCTAGTCCGAGTCCCTGAAGTTGTCACTGTTTTTAGAGTTGAAAGGACATTGGAAGAAGGTGCATCAGATATTGTGTATCAATGGCAGCATGTTGCTGATAAAATCGATGAAGATCTCTTTATAAGGGTGGTCCTGAACCCAGTTACTAGGAAGGGGCAAGTGACAATCAAGGCCAAATTCAATGCTTTGTTTCTTGGAAATGCACAAAGACTTGTTTCTCTGATGGATGAGCAGTTTCCTGGATTGGGATTATTATCCACGGACTGCAAAGAAATGAGCTGGATTGAGTCGGTTCTGTTTTGGTCCAATTATCAAATTGGTACATCTACAGATGTTTTGCTTGAGAGACATTCAACAAAAGAGAAGTACTTGAAGAGGAAATCTGACTATGTGCAAGAGCCTATTTCGAAGACTGATCTTCAAGGAATATGGAAGAAAATGATCCAATTGCAAAAGCCGGTGTTGACATTCAATCCTTATGGAGGAAAAATGAGTGAAATTTCAGAACTTGACACTCCATTTCCACATAGAGCAGGGAACATTTACAAAATCCAGTATGCAGCAAGTTGGAAAGAAGAAGGTGCTGAAGCTGTGGGTCATAATTTGGATCTTATCAGAAAGCTTTACGATTACATGACTCCTTTTGTGTCAAAATCACCTAGATGTTCATATCTAAATTACAGAGATATTGATCTGGGTATCAATGAAATTGGCAATGCTAGTTATGAGCAAGCTAGTGGTTGGGGTACCAAGTATTTCAAAGGCAATTTTGACAGGTTGGTGCGAGTTAAGACCACGGTGGATCCTGGTAATTTCTTCAGGTATGAACAAAGCATCCCATCCCTTGAAGCTTCTTCTTCGAAGAATAGAATGTCAGAGTGAGTAGATGCCCATTAAAATAAAACAAGGCCTTTAATAGCTTCTTAGTGTTGGGTACATTGTATACCATGCAAAATATTCTTTCACAGTACCAGAAAGATTGTCTGGAATTTTATGCATTATCAAATGTTACAGATTCAATATTTCCTTTCAGAGGCTTGGATATGATGGTTCAGGTTTTCTTTCCAGTTAAAGGTAATCATGATGAGGTTTTATGGCTCAAATCTTCTACTGTGTCAATAACATTGTATCATGAGTTTAATTGGAGGAATTCACTAGTTTGCAGTGCTAACCAACTTTCCACGAAACTGCATGCTTCTTCTCAGTATTTATTTTCTTTAATGACTATTGATGGTAGAAATTTTAGTTGCCTTGTAGCAAGCTAGGAATCTGTATACTTATATTATTAGAACAGGAAAGGAAAACATGAGGCATAATAATCTCGTCTTCCAACATGATATATGATCGCTGTAGTCAATTGGCAGAAATAACACAGCAAGAGAGGCTCTTAGCCAAGTTTAGCACTTATAATTCCCTCAATTGACCCAATTAAGCCCACTATTGTTACAAGCAAGCAAAAAAAGCTAAATGTTCTAAGAAGAATCCATTTTCCTGTCCAAGCACCTATTTTCTTCTGCACGGAGTACATTTCCACGGGAAAATATATAGCCAGAGGCCAAAAGTTCAAGGCTCCTAGCACTCCCAAAACTTGGTTGAAGTATGGGAAGACCATTGCAATGGCAGTGGTTGACACAACATATGCAGTTCGGAAACATAGCCGGAAAAGATTGATATGAAGAGGAGGAAATAATGGAAGTTTGAAGGAGTGGAAGTTGTTCACAAAACCACTACTTGGAAATTTTCTACTGAACCAGCTTTCAATAAATGCAAACACAGGCTGACTATATATCTGCAAAAAGAACACATAAACCATGACCAAACTTACAGATTTTATACAAAAAAATAATAGTTAATTTTTTTGTAACAGAAAAATGAGATCCACAAAAAAGTTGTGAACGTTATTTTACTGTTGTTTTGAGAAGGAAAGAAAATTAGTACCTGATATCCTCCAACCAAATGAAGAACAACGCAAGCATTTGCCAAATCGATGAGCCAATAGGGCTCGAAGAACCCAAACCCTGTCAAGAGATTTCCAGGTGTATCATTGCCAAAGGCTGCATATCCAAAGCATCCACAACATAGGTAAAAGAAAGTTGTGATAAATATTGAAATCATCGAGGCCTTCTTCATGGTCTTGTTCTCTGGTGGAGGTGACTTCAAAGTATCCTTCAAGCAAAAGATTTTGTTAATTCACATCAGTCCCCCAGAATTTGTTACTAGTTTCTGCAACGAAATTGAATTCAGAAAAGTAGAAGCGAAACCTGTATCTCAAGCAGAATGATCGAGTATGGATAGGCAAAAGCAATGTCCCCTAATGCTTCGAAGGCTAGCCATAACTTATTGACATTAGTGGCAGCTGAGACTCCAGTAATGCTCCCCTTAATCCTCCCATTTTCTGCAGTTACGTAAGTAAATTTTTAGAGATAATGTAGCTGCTTCTCCCAATGGACTATCCATGCTTATCTTACAAACTAACTCTGGTTGCCAGAAGAAAGATTATTCAAGGCTCTGTGGAGAGTCACTAATCTCTCCATTCAGAAATTTACAAATCCTCTAAGTAAGGTTTCTATTCTTTTCAATACACAGCCTCAGAAACACAATGGAGAATTGAGCTTCAAGAGCTGCTTGCTGTAAGTGACTGAAAAGATGGTCTTTCTAGCAGAGCCAGGAAGAAATAACTGGACAGATTAGCAGCAATACCTATTACTTTTGCAACACCAAGTCCAAATCCAATAAAAGAGTAGGTAAAGGACATGATTGCTGCAATTACAGAGAGCCACCCCATGTTATGAAAATCTGGTATCTGTGACATTACTATCTGAATAGCTCCGAATAGCAGCATGTAGATGGTATCACCATATTCACATGAAGCTTTATGCCCTTCTCTATGGTAACAATTTGATCTTTGAATTGCTCTACATTCAAAAAAAAAAACACATATTATACAAATACCTTGTCGCAAACATGAAATGAGCTAGCAATCCACAAGGAAGAAAAGATAGGAAAACAACCAACAAAATACTGGTGATGTAGACAAAAAAACTTAATATTGCAAGGGAATTAATCCAGAACAGTCTCAAACGCAAGGGGTAAAAAAGGGTGTAAATCACAGAATTCAGCGAGGAAGTACCTCATGCTAGTTGAAGTAGTAATAACACAAGCAATACCAGTCCCATACAAGCTCAGATATTGAAGCAAACCACAAAACCATGTCTGTGTTTTACCTGAACTATCACTACATCAAGTTAGGAAGCAAATAAGGAATATCCTAACTGAAAGGTACACAGGGATTTACGAGACAAGCTCAAAGGTAAAGGGAATGTGTTCAACTACCAAGATTTACTCTAACAGCATGCATGTAAGAGTAGTTTCGTGTTCCGGTTACTGGGTCAGGGGACCTATAGCAATTGGAAAGGAGCAATGCAGAAACGTAGGTGACAATCGCAAAGCAAAGAAAGGACACTGGGCCTGCTATCCAACCTAGCTGTGCTGTACTCCAAGCCAAGGACAGGACTCCAGAGCTGATAACAGCGGTAATAAATGTGCAACGCAACTCCATAAGGTTCCTGGTTGAGTTTCCCAGAGGCACCAAATTCAAGATTGAATTGAAAAAAATGCGGTAAACTTTAAATGCATAAACTGGTCCTTGGAAATTATTTTACCAGTTCTTAATGGATGCCCGTCATCATCACAGCAACCATTTGCCAGTTCAAGAGGATGTTGGACTGCCATGATTATTCAATTCATGGCAGGAAATTATGTTCGCTAGAAGTTTTCTACAACCTGGATAGCCAAAATAAAGGGCCGAAGTACTCTGAACTATCTCAGAACTGAACACAATAACTAGATACATGAACAAATGCAGATACATAACATGCCTTTCAAGAAAAAAGTTTGAAATATTTGTTCACCTCCATCCCCTCGGAACCTAATTAGGTTTTTCTTTCACTTCTCAGCTAGCATTTCTACAACAATTCTTTGCTGGATTCTTTGTGGAGGAAGGGTGAAACTATACTAAGCAGGAAATTCCATACAGATACCAACTTATCAACATAATAATACCAAGAAAGAGTAGCAACTTTCTATCCAAGGTCATGTGTGATTATAACATTAATGAGATGATTTAATTTGAATGGGTCAATCAACAAGGACTGGTTTCTACTATCCTACAGATCCTACCAAGTTGTTAAATGCACGAAGTTAACAGCTAAAAGCCATTATCCAGTAAAAGCCATTTCCTCAACTGTGCTTGTTCCATCACAACCACTTTTCCAAGAATCTTTCATTTTGATTTTTCTACTTCCTTCTGTACTTCTGTAATTACCATGCAATCATGAATCAAGAGTTCAACTAAAAAGGGGAAGAATAATAAAATTAACACTTGCTGGGAAGCATGATTCTGATCACAGTATTCCGAAAGGTCATTTTTTTTCCGGTAATTTTCTCGCCTACAATAATATCATACAAGCAGATAAATTTTCTAACCAGGAAAATGTTGGTTATTTCTCCTATTAGAGGAGTCTCCCATTTTCCTACCATACTTAGATTCACTGCCCTAATAATGGCAATATAAATGACAAAAGATTTTATGGGAGAAGACACTTGCTCACACGCTGACAAATAGAAAGAGCTGGAAGGAAAGGACTAAGCCAGATACTTGTTTGTAGCTCAAAACTTCATCATCAATCAAGCTTACACCAAACTCAGAATTTGGCTTCATGAATCATGCATGTTTATCAAGTTTCTCAAACAAGCCCATCAAATAGAAAATTAGGAAGAAAGCAGAGAAGGGTTGAAGTCTCATACCTTATGCTACTAGCAGAAGTAATGGTATAGGCAATTCCACACCCATATAAGCTTTCCTCTGCAAATATTCCACATACTATTTGGCTTCTCTCTCCTGAATTTGAGTTGTCTAGTTGTCAGAATTCTGAACTTACCACTTCATCAGAAAATAAAAAACAGTAAAGAGTTTGAGTACACTAGAGGCCACTGATTGTTTAAGCAATCAATAAGACTATAACTGTATAAGACTAATTCAATGTCTTAGTCAAAGATTGAGTGATTTAGTGTAATACGTAACAAAAGTTGGAAGAAGGGATACCTTCTCTGTACCATAGCCAACATAACACGACAAACTATAAATAGAACAGAGGACAAAAACATGTTTGATTGAAGGACGGAGACGAAGACAGTGAATACTTTCATATAAGCAAACTAATATATTCCATCTTCAAGTGCAGATAAGCTTAGATAGATGCATAGCCAACTCGGCACAGCTATCGAGATGGGATCCATTATCTCTGCTTGTGGCTCCCAATGATGAGAATGAAGGAAGTGGGACTTGAACCGTAGTATCACAGGTTCTTATCCCACCTATGACCTATCAACTAATGAGCCACCATCGTGAGTTTGCTAATAAAATCAAATCATTTATAACGAGAACCAACAATTTGAAGCTTGTGAATGGAACAAATCTATGTGTATATACACTCACCCAAATACAACTTCACAGCTTCCATGTAGGACCTGTTTCTGGTGGGGCCATGTTCAGGATCAGGAAATCTATAGCAGTCACAAAGAAGGTTTGTTGAAACAAGGGTGATGACTGCAAAAACTATCATGCATAGAGGACCTGCAATCCACCCTAGTTGAGCAATGCTCCATGCAAGAGACAGTACTCCTGCCCCTATCACTCCTGTTATAACATGTGCTGTTGCAGTCCATATGGTTCCTTCAAGTATTTAAAAATAAAAATTAGCCTAATGAGGAAGGAAGGTGGTTATATCAAGAAATTCTTTGCAAAAAATTTCCACCTGTAATCTCATTTTTCATCTTATATATTTGTAATATATTTTATTAATAAATGTCAACAAGGTCGTTGTAGTATAGTGGTGAGTATTCCCGCCTGTCACGCGGGTGACCCGGGTTCGATCCCCGGCAACGGCGTGTCCTTTTTTTCACCTTTTCTTTTGTGTTTTTGTCTGTCTTTTACGCAAAAACAAAAAAAATCATGTGCCCCATCGCAAACACCAATCAAACCACCTACCAAGCAAGCCATCATGGAAACCATTTTTTCAGGTTCTTGGGAAAATCATTAACAAAAGAAGAGAAAAGCATGCAAAAAAGTTAACCCTGAAGCAGAAGAAGATGAATGACCATTTCTATCTTTCTCAACAATGTTATCTAAGTAGAAGAAAGCATATGAAAACTACACATAGAAAGGTAACAGAAGAAGACTAAATACCAGTTCTTTTTAGAGACTCTTCTTGTTCATCATCAGCTGAAGCAGAAGAAAAGCTTCCAAGTAATGGCAACTCTTCTGCTGCATCACCCATAGGACCTCAATTGATGAAAAGAACCAAGCAAGGGTTCTGCTCTGCCCTCTTTTGACAAGTACGAAAAGTGAAGAACCGTGTCATCAACTAAATACTTGCATGTCCTTAGCTTAATGGATTAACGATCTTGTCCTGTCTCGTAAGTCAAAGTAGTTTCGTTCAATGCATTTTTGTTACCTAACTTTTGAGAAGTTACCGAACTTAAGTTGTAGAAAGCATATATCTTGATGTAAGATATCAGAAAAGTAGAAGTCACATGGAGTAATGTTATTGTTTACACAGTTCTTTGTTTGAAATTTTTGTACATGGGAAAGAAAATGATTGTAAGTTGGCTGATTGTGATACTCATGACTCCTTGTTAGGTATTCCTTCAACTCCAAAGTTATTATGTAGGGTTAGATTACATGGAAGGCACTGCAAAATGTTGTTATCATCAAGTTTCTTGCCCATTGTTTAAGATTTTGCTATTATATCAAAGAATTATCTCAAACAAAGTTAAGTGAAACTCCAAGAATGATCTTATATTACCACCTGCCCACATTTTTAACAGTTACTTGGATTATGTCCATGATAACAGATCATATGCAGAGTGAGATTTCCAAATTCAACTCTTTTGGATAACTTATACCACGTAAGGCGATAGAAGGATGTTTCAATTTTCAACGCTTACGAAATTCGAACAAAATAGCTAACTAAAAGTCTGCTTATGAGTTATGATTATACCATTCATGTTTGACCGGTACCTAGAACCCACCTGAATTTCAAACAAACTACCCAACTACAAGTCTTCATGGTAGCAGCTGAGACTGTATCCAGGAAGGTTTACCCCTCAGTCAAACCATATCCTGCAAATCTAGGCTCTTGAGGGAGGCCCGGTGGCATACCCGTTTTATGTTATTTTAACAACGGTGAAAGGTCCGGTGATATTCAACTTTGTCAGCATACATGGAATTGCCAATTTATGGCATTCTTGAAGTGATGCATTACCAGTATCGTTGAGTTGCCCTATTGCAATTAACAAATGAGCAATGATCGAAAGATATTCAGAAGAGCAATAGTTACATTACAAAAATGTTTTTTGGTTTTAAACTTTCTACAATATAAACAATTCAACTTGTCATCTAAGTGGGCTACACATGATGAAAGCATATGCTGGAGGAAGAACCAAAAAATCAGTAAGATACCTGCTCCATACTATTAAATGAACAAGCTCAAGCAGCTAGCAGGAAAAATATATTGTTTTGTAATGTGTGCATATATACACCAGAATATGATAGACCAACTCTTGGTGATAACCCTCTTAAACTGGCTGTGGCAATGATTGTGGTGTTATGGCTTGCCTGCAAAATCACATTCATGGTCATATCATAAGTGAAATGGGAGGGGGGGAAGAGAGGCAAGAATAGCAAATAGTATTAGCCCAAGTGTTCAGTGGATGATAAGTTATTTGATTGGAAAGCAACAAAAGGAGAGTGCAAGAGCTGACCTTCAGGGGGAGGATCTTCATGGACAAAGAAACTTGCAGCAACAATTACATAGCAAAGGATGAGCATCAATCCTTTAAAATAATTAGAAGATCCTTCCTGCAGATGTATCATGAATACTTGAGAGATGGTTCACGCACCACACAAAACATGATGATTTATTGTTTGAATGACAAGCTAAATAACAGTCTTAGAAGCCTCCTCACTAAACATGCCAACACATTGTGCATTCTATCTCTAAGTCCTATTCTCCATAATATTTTTCTTTTTTCTAGTATATACCAATATGATTTTCTTCTCTAGTGCTTGTTTGGGAGTGTAGTTGCGGTTACTTTTCAAAATGCTTTTCATACCGAAATGCATCAAAATGATGTTTTTTCATTTAAAAAAAAAATCATTTTTGAGATCAGCACATCAAAACTATCCAAAACATATAAAAAAATTAATTTTTAGCCAAAAAAATTGAATTTTTAGAAAATACAGGTTGGCCCGCATTTCCAAACGGGCTCTAAATAACAGACATACTAACCTGCAGAAAGAAGGCCACGACAATGACAGTAATGAAAAGAGTTGCAGTCTCAAAAAGTTTAAAGTTTAAGTCCATGGGCTGCCCCATTATCCACCCAATAACCACACAAAAGGGAATCTGCAGTAATGACAATAACAAAGATCTTAGAAGGTACCATGCCAAAAGCAACATCTTATGTAATACAAATAACAAGAAGCACATTAGTTAATGCATGAGATGCACATCACGTAAAAAATCTTCCAATCATAAAAAAATGAAACAAAGATATTTGAAATAAAAATGATTCATGACAGTCTACAATACACTATGACCAGTTCACTGCTGCAGTAAAAATTCAAAACTTGTATTTGTCTTATTTTCCAGATTCTTTCCCTTGTTTTCAAACAAGGGAGGAGCAGGAAGGAGTTTGTTCTCTCAAACAAGTGGCTAATCTTGTGCCAAGAGCAAAAGATTGCACCTAGAAAAACTGCTATCAGTGTGACTAGCAGTGTGTTTCCAGCTTCCACGAAGGATGAATAAAGAAATTATTGGCATTCCATTGTCATTGGATGAGGTTAAGAAAGGATATCATATAATTCATCTTCAGCATTTTCTGAAACAGAACACTTGGGACTCACTTATAGCTTTAAAGTGAAGAGTTTCCGGCTGAGGATTGAAAACATGGCGCACCTATTGAGGCTAAGTTAAATGGGTTAATATAAGATCATTGGCCCATGTCCAACATAGAACTCCAGATGCACAGGTTAGGAAGAGTGATCATTGGGAGGAGGGTGAGGAAGATGAATACTGGTCTGCAACTGAGGCTTGGTTATCAATTGCTGAAAAGGATGTTCTAACCAAATTGCAGAATTATTCAGCAGTTGGAAAGAGTCAATGATTCCCCATTGCAAAAGATCATAGAAAATCAGAACTTCATGAAGATCACATTCAAATGCATGCAAGTTCTAGTCATCAAGGCTGAATCTACTGAACACTGATGCAACTAAAATTCAGGAAAAAAAACATGTAAATCTAAGGGAGAATGTACGTAACAAATCCCTATCTTGCATTCAATGGCTTGCAAATCCCTATCTTGCATTCAATGGCTTGCAAAACTTACTCCAAACATAGATATTTGTGTTGATGAACCTATTGCAACGCCCAATGATATATCCTGCAAAGAAACTTACAGTGATGAGAAGGCATGGTCTGAAAAAATTGCAAAAAGGTGAACAAAATTAAGTTTCTTACAAGCTTGTCTTTCATAGCAAACATAATAGCACCAGCATGCTCTGCAGCATTCCCCACAATTGGGAGCAAGATAACCCCTATAAATGAAATTGGTATGTTCCAGGTATGAGATGTTCCCTACAAAGCAAATCACCCACCAAACAAGCTCAGCAGAAAGTCACTAAAATGTGACCAGTAAACTTAGATTCTATAAAAAAACTGAAGTAGTATTATGTAGATGCTCTTGGACACTACTTATATCTCAAGACTAATTACATATATGTAAAAAATGAAAATCATGTCCTTGAGAAACCAACAGATCTCCACAAGATTATGAAAAGAATAAAAAGTATCAAGGTGGTCACCAGATCAAACAAGGAGAGAAAATGTCAAACAGTTTGCATTACCTCTATGGCATCCACTAAATATTCTGATAGGATAGATATCCAAGCTGTCATTATTGAAAGCCAAAAAACTGATTCCCATTTAGAAATCTCCGGAGTCTCGTCATCATCAATGTCATTCTCCCCATTCAGACTCCCTTCCTGAGTTCACACAATTTATCACATCAACAGTAACTAGCACCCAACATGCTAAAAATAAGCAGACAACCGATTCTACAAAAAATAGCCAACCTCAGAGAGAGGAATGTATGGATCTTTCTGGGTCTTTAATTGGAAAAAAAGATAGGCAGCATAAACCCCAAGCATAATGCAACTGCTAAATCTTGAAAGAGCTAGCTCTGACTTCCCGTAATGCACCTCCGTGTGTGTGTAGTGCAGGACAGCAGGAAAGAGTAGCCCCATGACTGCCATCAACAGCAATCCTGAATTCACAGTAGCAGTTGCCTGCATGCCAACTTAGTTCAGCCATAGTAAGAATGAGACAAGACAGAGCCAGATAAACATTTGAAAAAAAAAAAAAAAAAAAGCTAATATATGTACCTTGTTAAAAACTTGTTCCTTTCTGTAAAAAACAAGCCCACCACAGAAGAATGCACACCCAAGCACCAGCAACATGTTCGATAAAATTGAGCCTAATAATGACAGCTGAACAACACGTATCATTCCATGTCTCAGTGCATATATTGCTATGATGAGTTCTGTTGCATTTCCGAAAGTAGCATTTAGAAGACCCCCAACTGCAAATACATTTCAGCATTTCAGAGATACAAAAGTCAATCAATGACAAAATTTACAGATAGAAGCAAACACTGAACGACGTTGATTGTTATAAACATCCCATACTTGTAGGTCCTGTGTACAAAGCCAGCTGCCTACATCAGAGGAGAGAGGAAGCAATATTAGGTGATTCAAAGCCAAAAAGTCATATAAAACTTGAAAAGCAGAAGTCTGATCCTTACTCCGTAGCATAACCTAAACGCTCAGCCAAAGGTATTATACCCAGTAGACTCAGAAGGAAGACCATACCCTGTAATCAACCTCAAAATACTAAAGAACCATGCTAAACAACAAGGCATGGTAACTAAAACAAAATATAGATAATTACAAACTTACATTATGCCCAGTCAAGATGCGGACGAGGATTGCAAGAGGCCCAAAAGGAATGAGCACGTTTAGTTTATTTGAAAAAATCACAGTCTTTATGCTCTTATACACAACATTCCTCCACATCTTACTAACACCAGGTTGGAAACCACCACGAGCTGATCCATACTCAGATATATGACCAGGTTGCATCTTTTGAGTGCCTGATTCCGGGCTAAAAAGACTCTGCTCCTCGAACTCAAGTGGTGACCCATTTTGAGCTAACGTTCCCATCTGTTACAATAATGACAGCTACGATTAGAAACCATTAGTATTTGTACTCCAACCTATGCTTCCTTGTTCCATAATCATGCAACTAAAGTTTCAACAAAGAATTATGATATTTATGATATTATATGTAGAATGACCATTCAACCGTGAAATGCAGCAAAACGAGGATCTTACATAGTTTCTTAGAAGTGTTAATAGTAATAAAAAGATCATGAGCAAGCAAGCAACTTACTTCAAGTTGAGATTCAGTTCCTACCACTTGTAAATTCTGATCCATGTT